GAAGACAGTATCTTTGCCCGACCAGTGTGGCTCAGTGGTTGACCACAGCATTCTGGAAAGATGACCTATAAACTAGGAGGTCACAGTTCTGATTCCCCATCAGGGCATGTGCAGGGGTTGCAGGTTCAATTCCCAGTAAGGGGTATGCAGGAGGCAGTCAATCGATGTTTCTATCTCTCCATCTCTCTCCTTTTCTCTCATTAAAATCAATAAAAATATATTTTAAAAAGGAAAAAAGAAGGTGGTATCCAAATGACGGAAGGGGACTGGTCCATATATAATAACACTGTTTATTGGGAATTCATTATGTGCCAGCCCCAATGCTATGGTATCCACAGTAGCATTGTCCAGTAGAATCTGTGATGACAGAAACACTCTATTTCTGTATTAGCCAAGATATATGTGGTTATTGAATCTCTGAAATGTGGCTAGTGGGACTAAAGAATTGAATTTTTTCTTTTATTTAATTTTAATTATTTAAACGTAAGTATCCATGTTTACCATGTTAGAGCATACATAAGAGTCTCAATTATAGCATTATATAAAATCTTTATAACATCTGTGAAGTATTATCCCCATTTTGCTGATAAAGAGATTTAAACCTTCAGAAACTGTCTAAGGCAGTGGTTCTCAACCTTCTGGCCCTTTAAATACAGTTCCTCATGTTGTGACCCAACCATAAAATTATTTTCGTTGCTACTTCATAACTGTAATGTTGCTACTGTTATGAATCGTAATGTAAATATCTGATCTGCAGGATGGTCTTAGGCGACCTCTGTGAAAGGGTCGTTCGACCGCCAAAGGGGTCGCGACCCACAGGTTGAGAACCGATGATTTAGGCCAACCCTTAGATCCCACGAGCACTGCAACTGGTTCCACTTAAATTCATGACCATGAATATCAAGCCGGCTCTGATGTTCTCCGGCAATCTGATACCACATCTCGAATATGTTTGTTCTCTGAGGATTCCATGGTTTCTTTCAAATGTTCAACACCCTCTGCTCACTTCTCATCCTAAGCTGATGACCTTTTGTAGCAGACCTCTGCTGGGTTTTGGTTCTCCAGGATCTGAAGCTATTTGTAATCTCCCATTGTGTGATTTTTGATGAAAGGCAAAGAAAATAAAAGGGTCAGAGTGGTTACCCTCTATCTGCCCTCAGGACTTAGATGTTGGCCAATCTGGGACTTCCAACAAAGACTCTGACTTCTAGAAATTCCAAGGCCTATGGCTCGTTAGAGATTATTCCTAGTGGTGGTCATGACAGAGTGGTCCTGTGCTAGTAGCCCCATAGGAGGGGTTTTCACCAGACTGTTCCAGTCTGTGCTAGTCCCGTGGCATATGAAAATGACTCTCCAAATTTTTTTATAGTGTTTACTGCACCACCAAGCTCCAAACTTGTATATTCAGCTGCTTGCTTGATAATTCCACTTACACATGTCATACATAGGCATCTCAGATATTACTTCACCAAAACAAAAACTTTTCATCTTTTTTACAAAACTTTTTACTTCCTGGCAGAGCCGAGGTTGGGAGAAGAATGGAGCATCTGAGCAGCACCTCCAGCCTCCTCTCTTCTCCCCGCACCTCACTCTCACGACCTACCTGCCTGCCGCCTACTTGTCCCCCAAAACATCTTCCACCTCAGGGAGTTCCCACTTGAACAAAGGCATCAAGGAGGTGTACACGTCCCTGCCTCAGGGTGATATGTATGTCCGGACTGATGATACTGGAGAAGGCCTGCGATGCAAGACCTTGGACAGTGAGCCCAAGTGTATAGAAGAGTTGCCGGCGTAGAATTTTTTTTAAAGTATATTTTACTGATTTTTTACAGAGAGGAAGGGAGAGGGATAGAGAGTTCGATCAGCTGCCTCCTGCACACCCCCTACTGGGGATGTGCCTGCAACCAAGGTACATGCCCTTGACTGGAATCGAACCTGGGACCCTTCAGTCCGCAGGCCGCCGCTCTATCCACTGAGCCAAACTGGTCAGGGCACCTGAGTAGAATTTTGATGGCTCTAGTACTTTACAGTCTGAAGACTCCAACAGTGATATGTATCTTCTCCCTGCTGCCATGTTTCAGGACCCTTTCCACAAGGATCCCAACAAGCTGGTGTTCTGTGAAGTCTTCAAGTACAAATGAAAGCCTGCAGAGACCAATTTAAGGCATAAAGGGATAACTGACATAGTGAGTAATCAGCACTCCTGGTTTGGAATGAAGCAGGAATATACCCCTTTGGTTGACTTTCCAATGGCTTCCTTGGGCCCCAAGGGCCATACTACTGTGGCGTGGGAGCAGACAGAGCCTATGGCAGGGATATTGTGCAGGTTCACTACCTAGCCTGCTCATGAGCTGGCGGCATCAAGACCAAGGGGCCAAACGCTGAGGTCATGCCCACCCAGTGGGAATTTCAGATAGGACTCTGTGATGGAATCTTGCACTAAGAGTGTGAAGATTTGGAGTGATAGCACCTTTTTAAAAAAATATATTTTATTGATTTTTTTACAGAGAGGAAGGGAGAAGGATAGAGAGTTAGAAACATCGATGAGAGAGAAACATCGATCAGCTGCCTCCTGCACACCTCCCACTGGGGATGTGCCTGCAACCCAGGTACATGCCCTTGATTGGAATCAAACTTGGGACCCTTGAGTCCGAAGGCCGATGCTCTATCCACTGAGCCAAACCGGGCTGGAGTGATAGCAACTTTTGATCCTAAGCCCATTCCCGGGAACTGGAATGGTGTGGACAGCCACACCAACGTCAGCACCAAGGTCATGCGAGAGGAAAACGGTCTGAAGTACATTGAGGAGTCCTTCCAGAGGCTGAGCAAGCAACACCAGTACCTCCTCGGAGCCTATGATCCCAAGGGGGGCAAGACAATGCCTGGAACCTAAGAGGATTCAAGGAAACCTCCAACATCAACTGATTTTTTGCTGGTGTGGCCCACTGTAGCACTAGCATCCGCATTCCCCGGGCTGTGGGCCAGGAGGAGAAGGGTTACTTTGAAGACAGGCACCCCTTTTTGGGGTGACAGAAGCCCTCATCTGCATGGGTCTTCTCAATGAAACTAGCGATGAGCCCTTCCAGTACAAAGACGAAGTGGACTAGACTTGCAGCCATCGAACCCCTTCTAATTAATTCTTCATCCCGCTCCCATTCGTGCCTCCCTCTCAATTGTTATAAGAGTTGTAACTCAAAGGGTGGAATATCAAGGCCTTTTTTTTAAGGCCTTTTTTTATTCTTCGTGAAAACAAAAGCAAAAGCTTTTTACTTCCTAAGTCTTTCTTATCTTAGCAAATGGCACCACTATCCATTCAGTTGCTCAAATAAAAAACCTATGAGACAGCCCTGATTTCTCTTTTCCTCTTAATGCTCATATCCAATTGAACGACAGTCCTGTTGACTTTTCAGTGTCTTCACTTAAGGTTGTCTGTAGGTTCTGCAACTTTAAGCAAAATGACCTGTAATGAAAACAATTTTACCATAGGCTAATTTATATAAACAAGAGTTAAGTTCCCAGGGCATGTCATTAACATAATGAAACGATGTTGAACAAAATAAAGTTAATTGAGGACCTGCTGTGTACCCTAATCTGATTCCAAGTGTACTAGCACCTGGACTTTTGCAATAACTTCTGTGGTAGCGCCCCCCCCACCCCCAATGTCTATTGTTCTGATACCCAGAACTTGTGAATATGTTACCTTAACATGTTTAAAGGATTTTGCAGAAGTGATTAAATGAAGGATATTGAGATAGGGCGGTTATTCTGGATCGTCCAGGTGTGCCCAATGGAACCATAAGGTCCTTATAAGAGGGAGACAGGAGGATCAGTCAGTAGGAGGAGATGTGATAATCAAACCAAGAGGTTGAAAGATGTAAGGAAGAGGCCACGAGTCAAGGAATCCAGGTGACTTCTAGAAGGGCAAGAAAACAGATTTCCCCTGAAGCTTCCAGATGGAATGCAGCCCTACAGACACATTGATGTGAGAAGCCTGACCTCCAGATCTGGAAAAGAATAAATTCACCCTGGCCAGTGTTGCTCAGTGGTTGGAGCATCGGCCCAACCACCAAAGGTTTGAGGGTTTCGAGAGGCAACCAGTTGATGTGTCTCTCTCACATAGATGTTTCTCTCTCTCTCTCTTCCTCTCTCCCTCTGTCCCTCTTCCTATTTCTCTCCCTCTCCCCTTCCCTCACTCCCTTCCAGTCTCTCCAGGAGCAATGGAGAAAACAGCCTCTGGTGAGGATTAACAAAAAGAAAAAGAAAAAAGAAAAATCAAAGAAAAGAAAAGAAAAAAAAGAATAAATTCATGTTGTTTTAAGCCACTAAGTTTGTGGTAAAGGAAGCTAATACAAGCCTCTAGTGCAGCGGTTCTCAACCTGTGGGTCGCGACCCCTTTGGCGGTCGAACGACGCTTTCACAGGGGTCGCCTAAGACCATCGGAAAACATATATAACTACATATTGTTTTTGTGATTAATCACTATGCTTTAATTATGTTCAATTTGTAACTGCAAATACATCCTGCATGTCAGATATTTACATTACGATTCATAACAGTAGCAAAATTTCAGTTATGAAGTAGCAACGAAAATAATTTTATGGTTGGGGGTCACCACAACATGAGGAACCGTATTAAAGGGTCGCGGAATTAGGAAGGTTGAGAACCACTGCCTTATGGTAAGGATGGGGAACTGAGGCACTGCCCTGTTAGGTAGAAACTGTAGGTTTCTATCAAGTCTTTCTTTCGCGCTCCCCCTCCCTCGGCTCTAACTGGGAGAGCGGATTTCTCGCTAGTGAATCCCCGGCGGCCCAAAGGCGCGGGGCTGGACGGGGGCGCCCCAGAGCGCAGGCGCCGGGCAGCAGGGGCGGGGAGAGGGCGGAGGCAGGGATTGGTGGGATAGAGTTGCCATCGAAAAGCGGAAGTCCCCACCCAGCCTGGCAGGAACTTCCGGCTGCGATTGCTCGGGTCTTCTGTAGCCTGAGTGGGGCCGCGGAGCCGGGATGGTTCTGCTGGAGAGTGAGCAGGTGAGTGGGGGCTGCCCGCCGGGGAGGGTGCCGTCGGGCTTAGC